TTAAGTATTTAAAATGGCCGGGAGCTGTGCTTTAAAGCTATGTCGGCTGGCTTGCTTGCTAGGAAGGCTAGATAAGGGAAACAGAAGGACAAAAATACTTGCCTTTTTTTGGAGACAAATCCGAGCCAGGCCCCCCCATGGCGCCAGTCATGGATTTTTAATGTATTCAGCACTGATTTATTCCTTGTTTACACAGACATTAGCTTGTATATAAACAGTGTGTATAGTACTGAAGCCTGCTAGCAGCTTGTTTCACATGACAGCCAGAACGTCATAGGGATCTGTTAAACTTCCCTGTACTGGCTGTAAAGGCTTTCTACAAAACTTGCTTCAAGCTTGCCTGAAGTTTTGAAAAAGCTTGATGTTCTACAAGCTGAAGGCCATGTGACCAAGGTGTGAGACCATGTCCCATATTATTGCAAAGTCACAGAAAGCATGCCAGTGCGTTTCCTTTATGTAGTGCTGACAATCTGCACAGCGCTTTACATTGTGCACATTCACATCAGTCCCTGCCCTCAAGGAGCATACAGTCGAAAGTCCCTATGTAACATGCATATATACAAGGGCTGATTTAGACAGGAGTCAACCTTCCAACACGTCTTTTGGAGTGTTGGAGGAAACAGGAGCACCTGGAGGAAACCCACACAAGCACAGGGAGAACATTCATGATGGTGTCCATACTTTAATTCAAAACGGGGACCCCCAGTGCTGCAATGCTGAAGGGTTAACCACTAAGCCACCCTGAACAGTGTGGATGGAGGAATCTCCCTCTGCAGCTATTGTCTTTTCACAGTCCAGACCATTGGCTGTCTAATAACTTGGAACAGTTCCTGCATCTGACCAGGCTGACAATTTTCCGCCCGACTCCTTAGATTTCCCAGTCAAAGGATGTCCGACAGGGGCCTGCATATAGGGCCATCCACTGAGTGAATTTTGTTTAGTTCATGGAGAATTGGCTGAAATCTACTTTGTGTATACCCAGCTTTAGTATAATGTGACGGGTAGAGCCTTTTCACAACATAGCATTGTGCTAATGCATGGGACTTGTGCGTCTAGTGTACAGTATTGCACAGCACGGTATTGCGGTTCTGCGTGCTGCAACGCTTGCTGGGATGTGTTGGGGTGCCATTCAAATAAATGCCAACACATGTAGCATGCCGTGCGATAGCATGTGCTAAACTCACAGATGGTGTGCGTTTAGAACAATGCTATAGTGTAAACAGGCCCTTTTTTAGAGATTGGGGTTTTCTGAAATATTGCTTCTATGGCATAGTCTTACCTTTTTTACATTTTGTTTTTCTCCCCAGCAGATTAATTCAGGGTTAAATGAACACTTAAGCTTTGTTTTGGTTTTTGTATTTTTTTTTTTTTTTTTCAATTATTTGAGGAAATGTGTCTAATTTCCATTGTTTTATCTACCTGTGTATTACCTTCCATGATCATAATACGGGCCCACATAAATTTTTGTTGTGCATTGAAATAGTTGGTTGCCAGTGCATCCAAAACGTGTTAAAGAATGTAGGTGTCGTATATTCTTTTTTCCAACTCCCATGCACTGTGTTGCATTGGCATGAGTTGTGTGTGCACGCAGGTGTGTTGCCTTTCTGCTTTGGGGTGCTATTTAAAATAATTGGCACCGTAATGCCCTATGGCATGTCATGTGTGCGTTACCACAACTCAATGTGTATGGGCCCTGAAGGCGTTTCTGCTATGGGTTCAGGTTGGGTGAGGGTTCATGTTCAGGTGTGCTCATTGTAATTGATAAACACAGCAACTAGAGTCAGCAATTCCGCATGTAAATCTGAAAATACTGTGTGGGGAGATGGAAAAAATCCAAGCAGACATATATTTTGCAGAACATACAACGTATCTTTTGTTTCTCACATGAACTTCCTATTAGTGTAACAACCGCTAAGACAGGGGTCTCAAACTCAATTTAGTCGGGCGCCACTGGACGGATTTTTTAGTCGAGTGGGGGCCGCTACTATATACGGTATCAGTGTTAATGTATGCATATGTTACAAGCGGCAACTGCCACCCATTCAAATTAATGATCGGGTGACAGCTGCTGCGTGTAAACGCATGCACACCGCATGTAATCATGTGAAAGGATTACATGCAGTTAGGAATCTGTCATTATCCCTGGTTTCACAATTGTTTATCCAGGGATAGTGATTGTTTTTGTAACTGCATGTAATCATATAACATACCATTTTACATGCGGTGTGCAGGCGTGTACATGCAGCGGCTGTCACCCGATCATTAATTTGAATGGGTGACAGTTGCTGCATGTTAATTGCAGATTAGGGATTCCTGCTGCAGGAAAAGCAAGTTTGTGACACAGGAATCCATAATCGCACCTGTACACATTTAATACACTGCCCCCCAGCACATATAATAATAACCTTCCCCCCTCCCTCCCAAGCCCCCCAGCAGACATCATAAACTTCCTCCTCTCCTTCCAAGCCCCCTCACCTGCTTTCATCCGTGCAGGGAGGAGGCACATCGTCATTCCCGGGTGATCTAGCAGTGATCATTAGTAAGGTCTGCACTAGACCTTACTAATGATCCATCATTCGGCCACAGCTCAGAACTGACAGCTCCAGCCTGAGCTGACAGGAACAGGTCTGTATCCGTCTGAGATGCAGACCGTGTAGCTGCTCCCGCAAGTCGGGCATGCGGCCCGTGACAGTGTGCCCGACTTGTCAGCTGGCTGCGGGCTACTTGGTACCGGCTCGCGGGCCGGAGTTGGGCCGGTACTTTGAGACCGCTGCTCTAAGAGGTTGTGATGGCTGTCTGTCTCCTCTCCATTATCACCATGAGGTAAAGTGATGATGCTCCCATCTCAATTTCACTAACTGGAAACTCTTAATAGAAAGACTTGGGACAGACTGAACTCATTAACATACAAGGTCTTCAAGGGCTTTAACCTTTTGTTAGGACAGACCTGCTCATCTAGTTTACATGTGATAGTGAAATCGGCCAACCTGATAGAGACGGGATGAATTATTGGAAATAAACCTCCCTGCAACCTCCCCAGGCAGTGAGAACTAAGCAGGATTTTTCTGTCCTGGAAATGGCAGAAAGGACATCTAAAAAAAAATGGTGAGATGCAGCTTTTAATTTTTTGTTATGCTGTTTTTGGTAACTTGTAACAAATATTAAGTAGATGTTCTCCCAAATTGGCTGCAAAAGTGGAAATAGACTTTAAGGCCCCATTCACACTGAGCGTTTTATCGCGCAAATTTCTGTGCGATAGCGCACATTTTTGCAGCGCGATATTGCTCTCCAATGCAAGTCAATGGAGCTGTGCTCATCACTGGCGCGCATTGCTTGTGCAGGACCATTCTTTGGAGCGGATGTCGCACGGTTGTACTCAGCCCAATGCAAACATGTGCACTGTAAAACGCGCAATAGCGCGCAAAATTACAATTGATTTGCAATCCGCTCAGTGTGACTGGGGCCTTAATCAAAACGCCAGGAAAAAAAAAGGAATAGCCTTTTAATACATGAATAAAAAATCCAGCTTTTGCTGCATTTTCCAAGTAGATGTCCTCTGTCTGATGGCCAGTATTATTTTAACGTCTTCTGAGCCCAGGTCATCCTGGACCAGCCCAACATGTGACTGAACAGTGAAAGGCAAAGCAGCACATTGATGGGCTTATCTCTCTGTCACTCTGCGTTTTTTCCCTTGCTATTGCATTGCTTCTTGTCGGCACGTTAACTGATTGCGTCCTTGTGCCGCTGCTGCTTCCTCAAATCCAGCCCTGCTATATGGGGACTGCAAGAGGCTGATAGCAGGTCAAATTGAGGTACTTGCACTGCTTGCTCTTAAATCATTACATTTTTATTTTTTTATTAATGATTACTTAGTGCCAATTGTGCATTATGTAGAACCTGAAAGTTGTTTTTATTATATTTAGGAAAATGAAAGGCGATGGGGAGCCTGGACATGCTACCTGTCTAGTCATGTGACATGGCATTGCTGATGTCAAGTAATAGGTGGTTTTGTTTGTCACATGGTATATACTACACTTGTTTTGTCACCCATGGTTAAGCCATAGTTTCTGGCAAAACAACATGATTTTTTTCTCTCACTTTTGCTCTATTTTATTTGATCATCTTTGCTAAGTTAGACTGTATTATATTAAATTCTATGTTCTAGATTTAACACCTAAATGACCTTGCCAAAGGGTTGTGTATAATGCACTTTTAATAAGATTGATTTCCTTTTTTTTTTTTTCCTTTCATCTCAATGCTGCTGACCTCCTGCAGTTTCTTTAAAGACGTTTTCTGTCTACAGGCTTGTTCAGCTCCATGACCGTTTTCAGGGAGAGTTTCTTGATAGCGCAGCATGAATTTTTAAAGTGCTTTAAAATTGGCATTTGTAGTGTCCATCTTAAGCCCATGTGGCCGTACAGGATCCTAATCGGAAGGCAGGGACACCCTTTAACATCTATTAACAGTATTGGGTTTACATATATTTTAATCTATCAGTGTCTGTCATGTTGCCATGCCCTGTTAATATTTTTTGATTGATTATACCGCCTTAGTACTTGCACTTATTGGTAAATAGTAATGATCTTGTCAGCATCATGTGATGTAACAATGGGTAGACTTATGAATACTCTTCTTCGAGGAACGCTACATATGTTGCATATTTTTATGTCCGCCTGAAACTGTATTGCTAATAAAAGACAACGTTTTTTAAAAGCTGGCACAGTAAGCATGATGTATCCCAATGAACCCTGGTAGTTTTGGGCAGGGGTAACGGTTGACAATACCCTCTGCCTCCCCTATCAGAGATGGAAGAGAAGGACGGAGTTTCTGGGGCTCTTGCAGCAGGTGGGAATATTTGTTAAAGGCAAGTGTATAGCAAGCTTACTCTCTGCTATTCAGTAGACACCTTACATTGCCCACAAGTACAAGTTCACTGTAATTTACCCTGGAAATCCGTATACATTTGTTTTATAATCTACTTATTTTTTCTTTTTTTGCAGTGAAAATATTCTGTTTGGGATGGGCAACCCTCTTCTCGACATTTGTGCTGTGGTGGACAAGGACTTTCTTGACAAGTATGTAAATATTTTTGTTTAAATGTACATGGTTTCATTTTGTTTATTTTTTACTGTCCTTAACCCTTGCTACCCCTGCAAAGCAAGGGCTAAGTGCAACTTTTTTCATCTAGATAGTTGAATAACAAAATACTCGCCTCAACCTTGGATCGAGCTGGCTGTTACACTGGTCCTTCTTCCCCGTCCCCTCCTCCAAGCTCCAGCGATGGAATGTCCCTCGGTGTCCTTGCATCCTATACACCGTATAGGACATGATGACTCACAGGACATAGACTGCCAGAAGGGCTGGGTAGAGCTGCTGGAAGAGTGGTTCAACAGCCAGCCGCCTCAGAGGTCAGGGGAGTATATCTTTGTTTACTCTCTAGATGAAATCAAGCACTTAACCCTTGCAGTGCAGGGGTAGCCACACTGCAAGGGTTAAGAATTTATGCCCAGAGTTCTTCTTTAGTTCTTAAATTGCTGTAATTCATTTTTTTTTTATATTGTGCACAGGTAAACCCTGCATTGGTGATTATTTTAGCTATCCTGGCCAATCCAGTTCTTGCCTACCTATTGGCTAAAGCATGTTATTGATTTAATAGAGAGGTGGCCAGAGCCAAGATTGGCAGACTTCATAGCAACTAGTAACAGATCTGGTTATTTTTTCCTGACATGCAGCACCTGATTTTGAAGGATCGGATGCTTTTACAGGACCTATGCAAGTAGGCATCTTGCAGTGCCTGTACCAAGGCACAGCTTTACTATAGCAGCTGTGTATAAATAAAAAATAACCATCAGGTTAAAGAGGTGTTACTGGGATTTCCCATGTAACTAAAAACACTGCAAATACTATTAGGTGATCTTATACAGTCCTCTTTATTTGGGTGGACAGACATTACTTGATTTCCATAGGTCTGTTTGGTAAATTAGCCATTGCAATGATGATCATAAAAGAAATGTGCATGTTTCCCATAGAGTATCTATTCTTAAAATAAACCAGTTTTTGCCATTTAAGATCATGCTGTCCAGCCAGATGTCTTCTATATAAACCTTATGATATGCAGATGAAAGTTTTTACATTTAATAATGGTGCGGAACGGACGGGGGAGGTGGCGGGTACAGCTGGCTCTGCCTCTAGATGGGCAGAGCCAGCTGTCACTCACGCAGCTGGGCGGATCTCGACATCGATGTCTGGATGCGCTCCGGCGTCTCAGTATACCGCGAGCTGCAGCTCGCGGTATACTGAGCTTAGGGTAACGGGAGGACGCTAGTTTGTGTCCTCCCGTTACCCTAAGTAGAACTATGGGGAAAAGCCCTGACCCCATAGTTCTCCTTTTAAACCATTTGTACTTGCAACACGTGCCATTGCCATGCTTAAAAATCCTAAGATACCTTCAAAGCTTTGGGCTGTCCAACAGTAGTTGTAATGAACGTGGTTCAAAAAATTCCCCCCTGTAAACTTGCAAGTGTGCATTCAATGCAGACTTGCTTGTTCTTATGAAGAGGGGAAAGCTAGTGGTGGAGGCAACTCAACAATGATCAGCTGGATGGGTCTATACCAGCACATCAATTGTTGCCCATGCAGGGTTGCATCAGGGAGAAGCATAAAAAGGCAGTCTGGACAAATGTAACTTTGTGTAAATTGCATACAGCTGTACATTAGGCTGTGTCCGAAGTGTCAGCCAAGCGTCCTTTCTGCGTATGACACATGGTTATGCTTCTGCAGTTACATTCATGGTGCAGTTCCCACAGAATTACAAGCCTTTTGGGAATTTGTAATCAATTGAAATGTTTCATCTTTCTTCCGTATTCCTCATCTAAAACATTGAGGGCTCATGGACATAATAAAAAAAAAGGATAATAACTTGCTGGCAGTAAGATCCTATGGAAAAAAACACATGTAATGGTCTGTAAACCATTTACATGCATTTAAGGGAGTAAAGGTTCACAACCATGTTATTTCTCTTCCATTCCCTCTAGCTCAGTTTAATGAATGCTACATTTCCCACATTTGCATAGAATTTGATTCCAGTCTTGCTGCCAATTATCATATACGCTAGATAATCTTTTATAGTTTGAAACAGCCAAAATTATGTCTATAATTATCTTCTATTAAATGAAGCACCTGTTTATTTTCGTGTGGCTCCGTATCAATTCTAGCCGCACATGCAGCCTCTAATATAATCCCAGAGGAGTAGGAGGATGTATTTTTTTTAATGAACATTTAGAAAATGAACATGCATGAAGTCCATATGTCCCTAGATATCCGTTAATAGGCTGATTTTTTTTGGTTTAGTCTTTTTATACATTTGGTTTAAAATATTTTAGGAAATTATGGGATTGTATATTTTATTTTTATATATTCCTATATTGTCTGTCCCATGAATGTTTTAACTTTGAAAGATGAAAGTATAATACCATTTGTTAAGATATACCCATCATGCTTTTCGTTGCACAGTAACCCTTACTTGCATATTTTACTGAGAATAGATCACATCATTGTGTGTAATTGTTGCTTATACTGTGTGTGTGTACGCACGCACACATACATACATACATACATACATACATACATACATACATACATACATACATACATACATACATACATACCCTGGCAGAATTTATGATTTCCTGGCCATTTTTCAGAGAATATTAATGATAACACAAAAACCTCTGTCACTCATGGTTAGTGTTTGGCTGAAGCCATTTTATATCAATCAACTGTGTTTATTCTTTTCCAATCATAATGACAATAAACTACCCAAATGACCCTGATCAAAAGTTTACATACCCCAGTTCTTAATACGGTGTGTTGCCCCCTTTAACATCGATGACAGCTTGAAGTCTTTTGTGGTATGTGTGGATGAGGCTCTTTATCTTCTCAGATGGTAAAGCTGCCCATTCTTCCTGGCAAAAAGCCTCCAGGTCCTGTAAATTCTTGGGCTGTCTTGCATGAACTGCACGTTTGAGATCTCCCCAGAGTGGCTCAATGATATTGAGGTCAGGAGACTGAGATGGCCACTCCAGAACCTTCACTTTATTCTGCTGTAGCCAATGACAGGTTGACTTGGCTTTGTGTTTAGGATCATTGTCTTGTTGGAATGTCCAAGTACATCCCATGCGCAGCTTCCGGGCTGATGCATGCAAATTGTCCTCCAGTATCTTTTGATAACATACTGCATTCATCGTGCCATCAATTATGACCAACTTTCCTGTGCCTTTTTGTAGCTCACACATCCCCAAAACATCAGCGATCCACCTCCGTGTTTCACAGTAGGAATGGTGTACTTTTCATCATAGGCCTTGTTCACTCCTCTCCAAATGTAGCTTTTATGGTTGTGGCCGAAAAGCTCAATTTTCTTTGCATCCCGAACAATTTTCCTGGCAGTTGTGGCTGACAGTTTAGTTGGTCTACCTGACCGTGGTTTGGTTTCAACAGAACCCCTCATGTTCCACTTCTTCTTGATTAGAGTTTGAACACTGCTGATTGGCATTCTCAATTCCTTGTAGAGCTGCAGCTAACGATTATTTTCACAATTGATTAATTAGGCGATTATTAAGTTCGACTAATCGGATAAAATTGATTTTTAAAAATGGCTCCAGTGATTGGGACTACTAGTTAGTATTGAGATTGTAGTCCCTCACAGGAGCAAGCTTGGAGCGGTGGAAGTAAAAAAGAAAAAAAAAATGTGGTGTGCAATATAGTGAAATGAAAAGTGTAAAATTATACAGCAATGAATGCAGAATGGCACCGGCTATAGAGGACTACAAAACCCAGCAATAGTACATTATACAGCACAATGCAGAATACCGCCAGCTATAGAGGACTACAACAAATTCCCGCAATAGTAAATTATACAGCACAATGCAGAATACCGCCAGCTATAGAGGACTACAACAAATTCCTGCAATAGTACATTATAGCTGGTGGTATTCTGCATCGCGCTGTATAATGTATTATGGCTGGGTTTTGTAGTCCTCAATAGCCAGTGGTATTTGGCATTGCACCACTGTATAATGTATTATTGCTGGGATTTGTTGTACTCCTCTGTAGCTGGCGGTGTTCCGCATTGCGCTGTCTAATGTGTTATTGCTAGGATTTGTAGCCCTCTATACAGCGCAATGCAGAATACCACCAGCTAATTAGAAATACAACAAATCCCAGCAATACATTATACATGCAGTGTGTAATGTATTGCTGGGATTTGTATTCCTCTATAGCCGATAGTACAATGCTCTGTATAATATACAGTACAATGTACCATCAGCTATAGAGGAATACAAATCCCAGCAATACATTATAGAGCACCATGTGTGGGAAAGTGCATCATGAGCATTATCGTCTGTTGTCGTCCCACCCCCCCCTGCTCCTGCTCCCTTCTCCCCGCATCCCTGTGCCGATCGTGGATGTGGGCGGGCGGTGAGCGTGAGGCGGGAAGGAGGTGCTGCGTGTGGTGCGTGGATGCGGGCAGGTTTAGCAGTGGCGAGCGTGAGGTGGGTAGGGGGGTGCGGCGCGTAGCGTGTGTGGAGCTGTGAACAGGGCCAACTAATCGGAAGCTAATTAATCGATGATTGAAAAAGTTGTCAACTTTTTCAATAATCGATTATAATCGATTATGTCTTTTAGTTGTTGCAGCCCTAATTCCTTGGATATCTTTTTATATCCCTTTCCTGTTCTATACAGTTCAACTACCTTTTCACGCAGGTCCTTTGACATTTCTTTTGCTTTCCCCATGACTCAGAATCCAGACACGTTAGTGCAGCACTGGATGAAGGATGCAAGGGTCTGTCAGGATGCCAGAAACTAATTGGCCTTTTATACACACCCACTGATTACATGCAAACAGATCACAGGTGAGGATGGAAACCCATTCCATGAAGCTCTCTATGCACTGTTGTTGTGCCAATCTGAAGGCCACACCAAGTTTGGAGGTCTGTAGCTATTGACCCTGCAGACAGTTGGCGACTTCTGCCCACTTTGTGCTTCAACATGCGCTGACCCCGCTCTGTAATTTGTTACGTGGCCTACCACTTTGTGGCTGAGTTGCTGCTGTTCCCAGTTGCTTCCACTTTGTTATAATACCACTAACTGTTGACCGTGGAATATTTAGTAGCAAGGAAATTTCACGGATGGACTTATTGCACAGGTTGTGTGTCTCTGCGTATGTATGTATGTATGTATGTATGTAATATTTGTATATAATATTAAATGTATATAAAGTGGAAGTAAAGCTTCCAAAAAAAACAAAAACTGATTGGCAGAAGAGAATTTGTAAGTCTCTTCTATGATGAAAGCTTCTTTCTTTCAACCTGTCAGCAATTTTGTTTTCTTCTGTATGTTGTGCTGCATATGGGCATCTCAGCGCACAGACCTGCCATGCCAAGATGAAGTAACGCCCATGCGAATGCACAGTAGTTGCATCATCAAGGCTTGGCCAATCAAGTGGAGGATGAATTGGAATTTGGAAGAAGGCCTAGGAGAAGATAGTAAAACCGGCAAGGGAGGAGTGCTGCGCTGAAGAGGATCGCTTTGGCAGCCAAGTCTGCCATAATGTGCCAATATACTGAGCATACTAGCACATTATGGTTCAAAGCTCCTTTCCTTCCCTCCCCCCCCCCCTCTTTTCCAGTAATTGTGTGATCCTGCCCAGCATTTATTTCAAAGACATCCTCGCCAGTTGCTCTTGATGTGCATGTAGTGTGCAGTGCTGGTAACTGGGCAAATAAGTATCTTACAATCTCCTTCTTTGCAGGACAGTCTTCATTTCTAGTATTTTTAATACTAGAAGCTTTGCAGAAATATGTAGGCTCATAGGATGTAAGTCTGCCATTGCTGATCTCTATAAAATGTTAGTTGCTTTGTTCTCTGGCTTTATATGAAGTCAGTGACCAAGAACATGCATGGAGCAAATTAAGCCATAGAAACTTCCAAACTCCTGAGCTGCGTTCTTTGGGCCGGTTCACACGATAAACAGTGTTCCAGAGTGTTCGGCCTCCGTAACGCACTGGAAAGCAACCAAGCAGACTTCCTGCGTTCAGGGGCGGAAGAGGGCGTGACAGTGCATTGAAGTAAAGGGGAACGCAGCCATGCCCGGACCCGCAGTGCGATCGCATGGCACATTAGTGGCTGCGTTCCAGTCCAGTGCGATTTGCAAAAATGCTGCATACACTATTTTTGCAGATCAAACTGGACCGGAACGCAGGCACTAATGTGCCACGTGTTCGCGTGGCTGCGGTGCCATCGACTTCAATGCACGCCTCCGCCCACCCGTGAACACGGGGAGCCTGGCTGAACCGAACTTTAATCCAGATCAGTAATCCCCATTTTTTTTAATGCTGATGAGCCAGAATGACTCGCATGCAAGTGGCATTTACAGAAGGCAATATGTGCACTTGCAGCCTATATATTTTCCTCATTAAAGGTTTCCTTTAAACCCCAACTCCCAGCTGATACTTGATACTTTTTTTCGTATAGAAGGGTTAAAAGACAGAAATTTTGAATAGATGGCTGTGTCCCTGTTCAAGAGATTGATCCTTACTTCCTGTGCCAGGGAAGAATGCTTAAGGCCACATTCACACCTGAAGGATTTTTTGCACATTTCCCTGAATTGTGACTGCGCTCAATATGAAGATTTCCATTATATTCAATGATACCCTTTCACACTTGAGCACCTTTCTGCAGGTTGTCGCATGAAAAAGTACAGGAGCTCTTTTTTCAGGAAGAATTGTTTGGCCCCATAGATTTTAATGGGAATGCCTTAATACAGTTAATGCAAGCATTTTCCTACTCCTAAAAACCTCAGGCCTGTGAACACAAGAACCTCTATGACTTTAGTGAGTCCCATTACAAGAATTTTGAGAAGCATAAATTGAGTGTTAGGTTTTCCCAGGTTCAGAGGTCTGATGGCTCAAGACACCACAACACCACACCAAAAAACAGATGCAAGGATGACAACAAATGATGTCACAATGACCATGTTTTACAGTTACAAACTACATGAAATTGTGGAAAAAAGCTCCAAAAAAGCTTCACAATCTCCTGAAAACACAAATGCTCAAGTGTGACTGACTTGGGGGTTCATGGTTATAAAAAAACCTGACATGAGGTTTTTACTATTTTATAGCAAACACTAGAGGTGGGATGTGCTATCCAGGTATTTGTATATTTAATATAAGAGAAAATTGTAATGTCCTCTGACATGCACCATTCTCAGCTCCCTCTCCTCAGTCTGTTTAATGTCTGCGTGCATTCTCTCAGAAATGATTATGACTTTTGTGTGTCTGCTTTTCTTTACATATTTTTCTTTACGTGCTAGTGAGTTGTGAGCTTGTTTCTTATATAACCGGTTGTGTATTTTGAAAATTAATTGTTTCAATTTCACAGGTCGCAATTTACAGTGTTTCCGTTGTTTAAGCTCCTGGGCAAAGTTTTTTTTTTTTTTTTAGCTTGGTTTAGCTAATTAAATAGGCTTTCCTAATCCAGTCTAATCAGTTAAACCTATTATGATTCCGACTTCATCTCCCAAATCTCTTTTTTTCTTTTAATCTGCGAGTGAAAGCTTGTTGGTGATCTTCATCGGAAATATGCAGTGAGATGCGTTGAACTTTGTTTTTAGCCCTGTCTCACCTTAAAATGTTAAACATTTGAAGCCACTATTTTCTTGTATTTAAGTATAGCTTTTGCCAAAAGTTGCATTCTTATAGAGCGGGGCAAAGGTGTAGAACCTCTGTTAGGATTTTATTGTGGTTTGTGGCCCTGCATGGCAGATTAGTCTGTCTCCCAGTGACCAAGCCTGAAATGGGACAGCAATTGATACATATATGTATGTGTATCTCTCGATCTCCTGAAGTTTAACCATTTAGGACAAAGTAATAAGTTCACCTGGTATCTGACATTCATTGTTCCTTATGCTTGTCTTGCTCATGCTCTATCCCCTATCACCAAGTGGTCCCCTGGCATACAATGTCACGAAATGCCACACTTGGTAACAGCGACATACTTTTGAACATCGCTGTTATATGGGGGGGGGATTAAAAAACATTAACCCCTTAGTGTGAAAAACCAATTTGCAGCATAGATTTTCATTTTAAGATTGTATGTATGTAGCACAGATAATGAGCGCTTAAGCCCCAGTCTCGAAGCCACTTTAGCATAAAACAGTCTTTTATTGCTTCCAGAGCACAAACATAACTAACAATTAATACACAGCCCAGTTGTATTCCAGCAAACCGAACATAGTCTCACCGACTCCAGGTTGTCACACGTACTCTGTGTAAATGTCTCTCGCAGCCTCCTCTAGCACACACAGCTACCTGCCTCCTGACTCCTGAACATCCCTGTTCCTCTTCCCGGTTGGAGCCCAAAACCTTATCCAGCACCCTTCCCATAAGGTCTGTGCACAGGTGTGCAATTAGGTGGTGGCCAAAACTAAACAAAGGACTCAGGAATGGAGATTTCATCCCACCCAATTCTCTCGGAAATCTCCCAGTTCCAAGATCCCATGCCAAATACAGAAATCCCGGGAAGAACCGCAAAGTCAGCTCTTTCCCAGTACACTAACTAACTTGCCTCCTGGAACTGCTCAGCCCCTCTGGCTGAGAGTCCTGGGTGACTACAACCCCCAATGATACCGTGGGATTGCCACACTGATCCTGCAGCATTTCAGGATCAGATGTCACTAAAGCCTTCTGTTTGTTCCCACAACGATCAGAAGCTTGAAACTTTGTTTCAACATAGAATTGTGTTGCTAAATGTTTCTATGCTGAAACATTTAGCATAAAAAGGTACACATCCGGATTTCCTAATCCCGATCTGTACCAGCTATCAAGCCATGACAGCAAGTGTGGTAAATACCGCACTGCTATCACGATCAGACACCCGATTCCTAAAAGGGATCGGGGGTCTATAAAAGCTTAACTCTTTCATTAATGAATGCTTCAATACTGAGGCATTCATTAAAGGAGAACTATGGGGTTAAGGCTTTTCCCCATAGTTCTCAGGGTAACGGGAGGACACAAACTAGCGTCCTTCCGTCACCCTAAGCTCAGTATACCGCGAGCCACAGCTCGCGGTATACTGAGACGCTGAATCAGGTCCCGACAATTATGTCTGGATCCGCCCAGCTGCATGAGTGACAGCTGGCTCTGCCTATCTAGAGGCAGAGCCAACTGTACCCGCCCCCTCACCCGTCCGATCCGCCAGTCAGCGCTGTCGGAGAGGGGGGAATCCAGCCCCTCCCCTGTCACAGCAGAGAGCTGTGACAGGATCGAGAGGTGAGCGAACGCCAGGATGTGTTCGCTCAGCTCCTGATCTACTGAGCCGACCTGTGACAGTCTCATTGTCACAGGTCGGCTAGAAGTATGAGGTAAGTGAAAAGCACTCACCTCATAGTTCTCCTTTTTAATAAACGGTAACCACTGATTCTCAGTGGTTACAGGCATTACAGAGCCCCAACTTAGTGATGGGGACATAGTGTACGTCTCCCGTCACAAAGGGGTTAAATGTGTGCACACATTGAGGAAGAGAAGCTAAAGGAAGGCTGCATGATTACGTGACTGAAGAATAAAAGCTCTGAAAAAGGTACCAATATATATAATGGGGTAACTAAATAAATGGGATTTTGATCAAATATGATATTGCTGTCTGCTTTTGGTGTTGTGCATTCACTTCTACTTAAAGAAGCTTTTATTATTGCATATCTCTAATCCTCTTCTATATTTCTGTTTTTAAAGGTATGGCTTGAAGGCTAATGATCAAATTCTGGCTGAAGACAAACACAAGGAGCTGTAAGTTAATTGGACTCCTCCTGACTGTATGATCATTTAACCTGTCAAACTTTCTGTATTGATCTCATGTTAACTCTGCCTGTTTTATGGGCGACACTCTAAATCCACCACAAACAGTGGGAAAAAAATAATTATTGAGTCAGCGTTTGCAAATATATCTGTCTGGTACACGCTATGACTTGGCTGCTGTCACATTTCCTGAAACGCTACAGTAAGGAAAACAGTATCATTTTTTTTGTATTCTAGCCAAGCTGGAACCTTGTGTTTTTCCATTCTTGACTAGTAGTGTAGATTGGGGCTGAGCTTCAAGTAGTTGTTTGTTTTTCATTGGTGTGGAATAAAATGAAATGCCCTTTCTATCCGGTCTTTCATGTAACTGTTCATCCGCAGTCACTAGTAAATGCCAGGCATCATTACACTCAGGCACTGCAAATATTTGTGAGCTTCCTCTACAGCGAACAATGTCCAGTGTTAAAAGGACATTGGTACCTCAACCTCTTCCTCTTTGGAGAGTATTTGAAGGTCAGACCCTATAATTCTCCTCCACATGGGCCAACGTTTTGCTGTGCTGGGCACAGTTTTCTTCATATAGTCTTCCAATATGCAGGTTTAAATACCCATTCCATAGAGGTAAATAAGAGAAGAGTTGAGCTCTTTTATTCATCTCTATGGGGTATGTAGACAGGAGCCGCTCTGCTTCTCAGATTTAATCTATGTAGGCCAGAGGGGTTTCTTTTGCATCCTGCTGTGCTTTGCCGTCATTTATCTTCTGAAGATGTAAGTTCCTAAAAAACCCCCCAAAAAAACTTTTTACAGTAAAACAAAAAGAAAAAGGAAAAATCAGACCTCAACTCGAATGTTTGGGCAACGCATCCTTGTAATTACAGCTTGTATTTCATGAAGTCCCTGTACACACCTAGGCGTTTTGATGCTCAAAGCTAAGCACGACAAAGCGCTCAAACACAAGAAATCCCATTAATTTCAATGGGCCCTGTTCACACCTGAGTTTTGTCGCAAGGTGTAAAATGCCAAACACTAGAAAAAGTACATGAGGTTTTTAGGTATATCTGTAAAAAATAAGTCAAGGCAACTGGTCTTTTCTGTATTTTTTTTCTCTTGAAGACGTTTCACTGGTCATCCAACCAGCTTTCTCAATTCAGAATGACTTGTACAAAAAATTATCTGGGAATAAATATGGTGAATGTTACTCCAATCCACATAATCTGTTAGTCACAACAGGGTGTTGATTGCATTTGCATAATTGGAGGTGTTATTAACCTGCATTTGGGCATGGGCATTTAGACTATTTTCCCTTTTGATCTGTGGGGCAGTGAGTGATGAGCATGGGGAGAGATTCCACCAGTATACAGTATAACAGGCATGGAGAAAAGACACCAAGCGAAATGGAGTCCGTCCATGCTTGCCGATTACTACTGGAATCTCTCCAGGGATGATCCTACTGCAGTTTACAAGAGAAAAGCCAAAAAGCGCAGTTTAGATACCGAATAAAGATGGAACCTTGTCGTTTAATGTGATGTTACAGCTTGTCAAGTTTTTCATGCAAAAAGCATGAAAATGTTACATGAAAACCAAATAAATGAATGGAAAGTTTTATGTTATTGGTATCAATAAAAAGATACATGTATAATGATTGGTGTGGCACCATTCTCATTGCTGTATCACATATTGCAGAAAAGTTATGGCGCATAATCACACATCCCCCTCGTGATTTTGAATTATTTTGATGCAATTTTCACCTGTAGCTGTATAGCTGTATCTTGGAAAGTGGATCCAATTATTACTCGGGAGTTCCATTTTCCTTTTTATTAGTAAAATATCTGGTAACCTTTAGCTACTTTCATTTCCGAATCTTTCTCCTGTGTAGACCAGTGTAATCTGTACAATGGAAGAGTTGTAAGAACAGGTCAGTCTGGGACAAAGTTGGTCTGGAAGAAATAGAAGAAGCACACATTTGACTCGGTCAAGCTCTACCATAGCAGAATTGGCACATCTGCTGGGACTGTGCTTCAGTTGTCATTTCTTTCGTTTTTTGTTTTTTTTTACATTTCTTAACACAACAAACATATACATGTCGAAACACAGTACAGCGATATCCAAGACAGATGTATCAAATAGAAAAACTATAGCTTCGTCAACATAAAGTCTAAAACAAAGAAAAACCTCTATTACGTATATTAATAACCAGGTGATCGCACGAATCCAGACCAGGACAGACAATTTGTGTATAGGAATGCAGCTTGGAGAGCGAACATCTAACTAGTCAAATGCTAGGAATGTAGAGAGACAATATAGCCTCTCGTAAACAAGATTGCAAAGCTGTTAAAGTGGTGACAGAGTAAGAGAGGGGTGTAGAGAACAGTATGTAAAAATCAACCAGAAACGGGAGCCGCAGAGACCTTCATCATTACTGACAGAGTCCTATCCATCTTGCAGGGCAGAAACTGGCGGAGAATTATAGTGACATGTGTCAGACGCACACCCAAGGGCTCCAGGTGGAGTTTAATTTTCCCTCCAGTTTTTTTTTTTTGTAGGAAAGCTATCGAGTCCGCCATCCTGTAGGTATCATTTACTTTGGAGAGCCATATCTGATTAGAGGGGAGGATGGGGGAGACTTCCATAACAGTGGAATACATGCCCCGGCGGCGTTAATCATGTGAACAGTGAGGGAGGATCCATATTTAGTCAGGGGAGTGTTGGGGCAGGTACAATAAGCAGGTGGCAGGATAGTCTAACAGATCTACCATTGTCAAGTGTTTCACAACTTCTACCGTGTTCCAGAAGCTGCGTACTTTTGAGGACCAGAAAATGTGTACTAAGGTACCTGGGGTAGATTCGCATCTCCAGCACACAGGACAAATTGAACCATTAATCTTGTGTAAGACAGTGGGAACCTTATATCAACGCCTTAGGATTTTGGACCCAGCTTCTCTGTAATTATGGGCGATGGTGAGCACATGCAGTTCCCTGTTCAATTCTGCTTCCCATTTGACCAAGAAAAGGAGAAAGATATCCCTGCGGGGGGGCACCAGTAGTTTATAGATTGTGGAAATAGTGTGCCGGGTCAGAGAACTACCTCTGCACATAATTTCAAAAGCTGTGCACGCTCTATCCAGTTCATGTGGGCAGGGTATCACTCTCAAAAAGTGCCCCAGTGGCATTGGGCTCCAGAGATCCGGAGGGGGGGGGGTCCACCATGGTCTGCAAATCGGAGCATGATAGCCAGCTAGAGTCAGTTGTCGTTTCATGAGTAGCCCAGTGTCAAATTTCTTATTGGTTAATTATCAGGTTTACAAAGTTGCTTATATCCTGTTTAGAAACAATCAATTATCAGGCCTATTGGATACTTTATCACCCCTGGCAGTGCTGTAGGGATGAGTGATCTGTGAGGGAACACGCCATGGCGTAATAATGCAGCATAGGCATGTTTTGTTGTCTGGATAGAACACATACCGTATATGAGTATAAGCCGAGGTACCTAAATTTTACCACAAAAAACTGGGAAAAAGTATTGACTCGAATATAAGCCGAGGGTGGGAAATGAGGCAGCTACTGGTAGATAGATACCAATAAAATTACATTAATATTTATTTGAAAGAAAAATAACCTAGCTCTGTAAGTGGAAAAGGGGGTACAGGGCTTCCAGCCACCTAAATTAGGACCCGGAGACTGCCAGATGACCCCGCTCGGAGCGCCGCCCACCGGAGCAGCAGTGACGCGACGCTCGGCGAGGTAAGTAAGAAGACACCTGACGCTGACTCGAGTATAAGCCGAGGGGCACTTTTCAGCCAAAAAAATGGGCTGAAAATCTCGGCTTATACTCGAGTATATACGGTATATAATTGTGATCATTCAGAGTTACCATGTTTTGTGGTAACCATGTAGAATGGGGTCTCAGATTACAGCCCCTGCATTCATTTATTTGGCAGGGTTTTCTGTCATCCTGTGGTGATTCAACAGGTTTTGGAAATGCAGTAATTGAAACCAGAACAAGCGTGAAAAGTTCTCTAGTTGAGCATTTGACTAGTTAGTGTGAGATTAATAATTACTTAAATGTAAGGTCATTATTCTTAGTATAGTTACATTTTACAATTCTTGCTGCAGCACATTTTTCTTTAATGGTCGGCCTTATTTACTGAAAAATGGCCTGGATGGGAAGGGGGTTTAACACCGCGGATGTCAACTGGTTAAAGTGTCTAAACCCAAATCCAGAAATGTAATGTGTGGCCGATTACCAGTCAGCAGAGACAGAGCACTAGATTTCTGACAGAATCAACAGATTTTATTGTATCTTTCAAACCGATCAAATATTGCTATCCTCAGACTAAAAAAGGAAGGAAATAAGAGAAGCCAAGTGTTTGGGTTTCCTAAAGGTGATCTTTTACTTTCCAGATTGAAGTTAGGTTGCTAATCTACTGTTAGCATGGAGCTGCCTTCTCTCAATCCAGAGATTTTAGTGACTTGAGTAGTTGCTGAATACAACATTTTAGTTCCTTTCGTTTTTGTCTTGAAATCTGGTTTAAATTTAGTCACTATTATAAAAAGCTGAAACTACAGCTAATTGTGCCTTGGTGTTATTTTTAAACATTCCTTAGACAGGCGTTGCCTTGCTGTCATTTATTTGGCTGCCTCTTCTATAAATTCACCATGTTTGTGGTTTTCGGGGGGGTGGGAGGAGAAACAGTTGGACTTGGATCCTAAAATGGAAGGTTGTAATCATCAGAGGAAGCAGCAGAAGCCATTTATTCCATGGCTGTGGTTGGGACTCTGTGACAAGTAACTTTTTGTTTTTATTCCTAAACCTCAGCAAAAAGTTACTGTTTTGAGAGTTTTGCAGCTTACTAACGCTGTTACATCAGCTTGATTTCAATTTTAAGAGTTCAGTGAATGTTTTTATATTGACATCTGTTCCACATATCTGTTTGATATCTTTGTCATTAAAGTGTATCTAAACCCAAAAATAAAAATGTTCTATATTGCAA